ATGGGGTTTTGCTTCTTATGGGTTAATTTTGTTAAATATATTTGTTTAGTAAAGAAATAGGTGTTTTTAGGTTCCCGGTTCAATTACGAGCTTTGGAATTTATTTAAAAAGATTAAAGAAGTCTATTAGAACTTGAGTTTATTGACTTCTTAGGAACTTTTTAATTAAAAATATGTTTGGATTAAGCTTTTGGATTTGTTGACTTATCAATGAAGCAAAAGATGCAAACTATGATTTTGTTACACATTTATAGTCCCACCAAATGGAACTTGTAGCTTGTTGGTTTTGCATTCTGTTTCATGTTATTGATTGTTTTTGTTTCATGCTGTTAACTTCATGATTTTATTTTATGTTTTTGCAGGAGTGCAGTTTGAGAAACTTTGATTAAATGATAATTAGTTGAGAATATAAGCAGTTGTTTCAATTCTATTAAACTCAGGAGTGCTTGGATTTGTTTAGTACAGTATGGAGATACAGACAAATGGGAAACCAATAGATTCGCTGTTAGAGAAGGTCCTTTGTATGAACATACTATCATCAGATTACTTCAAGGAGCTTTACCGATTAAAGACATACCATGAAGTGATAGATGAAATATACAATCAAGTTGATCATGTTGAGCCATGGATGACTGGCAACTGTCGTGGTCCATCTACTTCCTTTTGCCTTCTATACAAGTTCTTCACCATGAAACTCACTGTCAAACAAATGCATGGTTTGCTAAAGCACAAGGATTCTCCTTATATCAGAGCGGTAATTGTGCCATACCCTGATTTTTGTTTTCCATGAGTTGGTTGTAAATTCCTGATGCTTGGATATTTACTCACATGCTTCACTTCATTATTGAATTTGAGATATCCTTGCTTGCCTATCAATTTTATCTTCTCTCTTATATTATGTGTATTTACAAGGTCATTTCATTTGCGGAAGCAATGTGAATTCAAAAGGATTTTTGGTTTGTAAGACATGCATGATGGGGTTTAGTTTTATAGTCATAGGTTGTCTTATGTGGGCCTCAGCATTAGCTCATGTCTTATCAATTTTTCAAGGCCTTTACTCATTTTTATCTTTTCTATTTAGTGTTTTACCTAATTTGACCATTTTTTGGAAACTTGAGGAGCATTTTATCAAATTTGGGAACTTTTGGTTAGTGTCATATATCTCAGGGAGTGATTTAGCATTGTACATTATCTACATGAAGGAAATTTAAATTTTCAATGCAACTTGATTAACTCTGTTCTTTAAACTGCAAATTATTGAATGTATAATTTTTTTAAGAGTTGAGCTCCACTTATAAGCACTTTTTATCTACTTTTCTGGTGTGCGAACTGCTGAGAAGTTACAAGGTAATGGACAAAACATTGTCATATCTGAATTTTCATAACATTGAAAATCTCTGTTCTGATTTACACATCACACATGATAATGTCCTTGTTTTTCATAGCAGATCTCTCCAAACCAAGGTTGAGGTGTTCTTGTTTCTTTGAGTTGCTATGACTTTCTCACTCCTACATAATCTGCCCTTGCTTTGCTGAGCAGATTTCGCAAAATTGAGGTTTGGGGTGTCTTATTTTTCTATTCTCACTCCTAGGCTTTTTAATCATGAATCGATACTGTCAGTTGACTGTTTTAATCATGAATCAATACTGTTAGTTGTCTTTTAACCCAATTTCACTTGCTGCCACTTTGACTGTTGTTGTTGCTATTCGCTAATCATGGGAAAACTAGAACTGGCATTTTGCTGCCCACTTCTATTGACCAGGAGCTGTTATTGTTACCATTTTGGTTCTTTGAAATAAGGATAGAGATCCCTTATTCCTTTGGAATCAAAGCTTGGTTCACATTTACCTGCATTTACACATTTTTTCTTCTCTCTCTGCTTGATTTGCAGAATGTACTGGTTAGCATAGGGACTGCTTTATCTTAGCGTTGTGTTTGATTGGTGTCCCCAAATTTGTTTGCAGGTTGGGTTCCTCTACCTGAGATATGCTGGGGATCCGAAGACACTGTGGAATTGGTTTGAACCATATATTAAAGATGATGAGGTACTTTCTTCTCTATATCTTTTCATGCACTACAGCTCAAATTTCTCTCATGAACCTATGTATAATATATTGCAAATTGATGCCTTCTGATTCTTGAAAGCATTAGTTGCAGGTTACAACTCAATATGACTCTAGAAACATTTTTGTTTGTGGAATTGAATCCTCAATAATTGTGCTTAAGATTTCTTCCACATCTGAATTTTGCAAAAAAAAATAAAATCTTCCATAGTGATCTGTGTAGTTGCTTAATTAATACAAGTCAAATGCCATTGTTGGAATTTTTTATTTTTTTAATTATTTCAAAGTCCTATAGTGTTGGGTGGACGGGTATTCAACTTCAACAATAACTTATCACAGGCTTTGATATAGTCCAATTTTATTTAGAATGCATTTTATAGGTGAAGTGATGATTGCAATTGCTGTGCTCTGTATTCTTTGAACTAGAGATGCAGTATGTGGCCTTTTGTTTAGGGTAGCTGTCTACAAATACAAATAAACTACATACATAGAGATGGACAAACTCTTAGTTAGGTCTTCTGCAATAAATTTTAACTATAAATAAAAACTTGGTCAAACAGAATGCTGTTGGTTTTCACCAATTGCTTTTCAGATACAAAATTTGTGGTGCTCATATCTGATGGTTCTTTAGATGGTGAAAAGTTTATGATGAAACTGGCAAAGCGGCTATTACTTGACTAGAACAACTAGCAGCTCTAATTGCTTGTTGAATGTACTTATAACGGGGGATACCATTTACACATGTTTCTTGTTTTTCCTGCAGTTGCTCACATGTATAATGCAAAAGAGCACTTTGTAATTTACTTCAACCCCTGTGCTTGTTGAGTAGCTTGCTGAGAACTTTTGATCTAAACATCAAATGAATTTAGGAGATCTGTTAGCTTCTGTTTGGATTGGTTGATTGAAAAACTTCCATTTCTAACACGTGAATATTCTAGTAGATCCTGCTTTCCCAGATGTGGTCTTTCTATTCATGTATTCACTTTTTACCATAACCTAGTAGTTGTCTAGCTAATTCCATCTTCCCTTATACTGCCGCTGTTAAGAAATGCATTTACGTATTCACTTTTTACCATAACCTAGTAGTTGTCTAGCTAATTCCATCTTCCCTTATACTGCCACTGTTAATGAATGCATTCATGCTATAACTCAAACCTGACAACTTCACAAACTTCATGGGTTTTTAGACATGATGTGCGTGTCCTTTTTCATCAGCTGCTTAAGTTTCTCTTTATATTTCAGGAATTTTCTCCAGGAACTAGTGGAAGGAAGACGACAATGGGTGTATATGTGCGTGATTTGCTTCTCGGACAGGTCAGGTTGAAACAATCTCTAATGCCTCCTAGAATTTTCAGGTTCTGTTATCCTTCCTTGCAGGCCAAAAGGGATATTGATGTCATGTTTTTCTCTTGTAGTACTACTTTGATACCCTTTTCCCCCGTATTCCTGTTCCTGTCATGCGGCAGATCACATCGAATCTGGAGAAGTTGAAGCTACCAACAAAAATCTCTAGTTCAACAGGGGATGGAAACCGTCATGGATCTGACGATACAGCACGCCGACCACCATCTGTGAAGGCAGCACTGTCAGTCTCTTTTGGTCAGCGTGCTCCTCATCGTGCATCAACTAGGGATTCGTCTCCTGTTCGTCGCACAATACCTCCACCCTCCTATGACAGAACCAGTGATGAACCACGAAGCCTACTCGGCCAGAGTCGTGAATATTCTGATAAAGAATATTCGGATCGGGATCGGGATCGGGATCGGGATCGGGGCAGGGAAAGGGACCGAGACCATGATCGGGATAGAGAGAGAGACAGGGTTCGGGATAGGGATCAGGAGAGAGAAAGGGACCGGGATCGTGAAAGGGATTGGGATCAGAGCCGGTACAGAGACAGAGTTCGGGAAAGGGATAGAGACAGAAGGTATGATTATGATAGAAGTTCCAGGTACACTGATAGGGAAAGCAGAAGGGATTCTGAACAGAGCAGCCATGACAGAAGTAGGCATTATAGAGAAAGTAGTTCATATAGAAGCCGCAGTCGAAGCAGGAGTCACAGCAGGAGCAGGAGCCAAAGCTCGCAAGCTGGCGCCTCACCATTTGATCGCCATCCAACTCCTCAAAGGGATGGAAACAAGGATAAGACATCTGCACCTAGCAATCTGGCTAAGCTCAAAGATCTTTATGGTGATCTTAGTGATCAGACAGGGGATGCTCGCCTGGAAAGAGTTCCTTGGAGGGATAATGATGGTGAAGAGGTTTTTAGACTCGGTGGTTCTACTTGGAGGTAGGTAGTTCAATCTTCAAACAGTAGCTTCAGTGGCTGCCAGATCAGCTGTATCAATGAGGTCTTCAGCCAGGCCAAATTTCTGTTTGAATCAAGCAAATAGTCGCCATTATAAACTTCCCCCCTTTCTCTAATCATAGTTCTACATTTTCGCTACAGATTCATGGAAACACTTGAGTGCGTGTTGTTGAGCTGTAGGGCTGCGTGCACATTAGCCCCAACCTATCTTTCAAGTTTCATGTGTACAATTGTTTCAGAAAAACTCAGATGATTTCCAATTTAACTTGTTGCATTTAAATGCGCAAGAGAACATTCTTGGTCATATTTCTAATATGTTTCTTTTGTCAGTGGTTTCTAACCCGGTACCATTTTCCTCGAGGATATAAATTCCATGAATCTTTGCAAGGGAATACCTTTCTATTCAAGAGATTGTATCTCTAGCAATTTTAAATAATGTCTTAACCATGCAAAAACCGCCGTTACTGAGAGTAAGCGCGTTTGGCTACCAGATTTTGGTAGCTTTGGCTGATGTGGTTTGTAGGGTCATCGCAATTTTCCTCGAGGATATAAATTCGTTGATGTTTTTACATGTAAGATAATAAGGATTCATTGGTTAAATGTCACATAAGCATTAAGCACTATATTATAACTATCAGAAGAGGTGGTGTGAAACTTGAACCCAAAATGCAAAGACAACAATCATATGAGCGAGTAGTCCGTCATTGACCAGTTATTTTTACAATAACGGCCGTTACCATTATATAACCATAGCTGTCATTGTCTGAGACTCGCCATTGCCAGCAATGGGGCACTTGTTCTCTGTTAAATAACGGCGTTAGCTTACAATAGACTCAAAACAGACAGCTTGTGCTTACAAATCATCAACTGCATTCTAAAGTCCTACACAATCCCTTCCTACAAAAGATCTTAAAAGTCCTACATGTGATGTGCCCGCATTCTCAAAAGTAGTGACAGAGAACTCCATCGATCCAGGAGCAGATTTCCCAGCCAACCGCTGCTTCACCTGTAACATGAGAGATTCCATGAGTACTTTCAAGGATACAACCGTGTAGACCTCAACAATTATGCTAGTTAAGAGAATCCACAGGACTGTGTGTGCGTACCCTTTGAACATACTGAAGATGATATGGCTTGCTATTCGCACTTGATTGAACGGTAAATGTGGCGGACAAAAAACAAGGAGGCACGGAACCCAATAGAGCCAAGCATGAGGAAGAACCCATAGCAAACACAGGCCATGTAGCCAAAGAAAAAGGAGGTTTGCATGAAGCCTGACATATCTGATCTTGCATAGTAGTAATACAAGCAGTAGCCATAAATGAACAATCCAGTTGATCCACCACAAAGGAACGACCTGACCAACACCAAATTCAGAGAGGTGAGTGCGTAGAATTATGAAGCAGGCAATCAGATATCCTTTTAAAACAAGACACTTCAGAAAACACAAGGAAAATTCATGCAATGGATGAAAAAAAGCAAGCTAGGAGACCGATACATCAGGAAAATTCATAACAGGAACCCAATGATGAAAAAATTAAATTGACTTGAATATTTAAAGTAATTCAAATAACATCTCAACAGTGAAAACATAGAATGAAAAAACACAATTTGCTACCATTTCACAAAAAGTTGGAAACGAAAAAACAAAACTAAAGAATGTTATTTGTGAGCAAAACTTCCCAGATATTTTATCTGTGCTGATAGTGATGCAAAACTGAAACAATAAGCTCAGAAATATTAGCATTTTACACATGAAATTATATCTATCAAATAGAAAAACATACCTCCACCACCACTCATGGTCTTCAGCAGCAAGTTGGAAATATGTCAACGCCACTGTTATAAAAGCAGTGACAATCAACAGAATGATGAAGACAATGAACAAGATGCTGTATATGGTGTAGATCCTGTGACCCCAAACACTGGCAAATATGTAGTAAAGTTCAATATAGATTGCACTGAAAGGCAAGAATCCTGCCATGGCCATCTGAGGAAGTGTTTTCCGATACCAAGGCAACTGAGGAATCTCTCTGGGATATTTAGTGGTGCGGACAGGAGCCTGAAACTCAGCCTTGCTATTCTTCCCTGCAATCCCACCCAGTACCAGCAATGGTGTTGTTACCAGAGCCCATATAAGAAATATCACCACTATTGTTCCAAATGGCAATGCTGCAGTGGCACTATATGCAATTGCAACGGTATTAAGAAAGCAAAAGGTGAGAAACAGAGGACCACAAAACAGGGCTCCAGTTAGCAACAGGTTCCTGACCTGCAACACCAGAATTTCAGAACTTCTTAGCCTAGCATGTCTCAAAGTTGAATGGTAGTTTCTAGAGTGTAGCTAGAAGTTCTGCAATGATAGAGCATGAGACATCATGGATTCAAACAATGCTGCTGAAAAGTGATTACATCATTCTAATAATGATCAATTAACGTCACTATCATAATACTAATGAATGCAAACCATGCTAATTTTCAGAAAGCCACAACCAGCACAAAATAGCCAATTGCACTCGTATCCAATTCTACAATTACTTAGTTTCAATGTATGTAAATTTATTAGAAGCAACTGTGAACTGTTGAGCTCTAATTTATCGTCTTCTCAGGTTAGCTTCTCAAGTGTAGCGCAAGCCTTCAGGAAGCAGCACACCAACTTTCAAGCACATTGTTTTCTTTCACTGTTTTCTCTTGAAAAGCTTCTCTTTCACATCCCAATTAGTTCAGCTATTATATGAGAGGAAAACATTATCCAAACACAAGGTAGTTTTGATCCCCATTTCCATGTTTTGGCCCATTTCCACAAAGTGTTTATAGCAAAACCAAATTGATTCTGACAAAGTCAATTTTCACCAAGCATTTATCTTAAAGCAAAACACATTCCAAAGAAACACTGAGAATTCCTATATACCATTTACCAAATTTGATACCAACTACAATATCCTTAGACACACAGTAACAACAATTGTCTAGAACACACCAAACAATGACAATGATAAGTGCAAAAGGCAAAATGAAAAAGGAATTCTTAAGAAGTTACCCAATTTTTTCCTTCCAGTTGGCAAAAGAAAGAGGCTGCCGTGTAGCCTGCAATCCCGGCTGTCAGAGCATATATGACAACCAGTGCAGTAAATAGAGCTCCACGATTGTAAGGATAAAAAACACCAACTAGAGCAAGCACGAAAATGAAAATTGTACTGCCAATATGTACGAAAAGTTAGCAAACTGCAAATCAACAGAATAATTTTAAAAAATGGATTTGAAACAAAACCAACAAAAGCACAGCTTTGAAGTTGAACTTACAGGGTAAACAGCTGGGTGCCAGAGCCAACTGCTGCTGCAAGCAAAGACTTATACTTTGGATATCTAAATACATCACCATGGATGTACTTCCACCCAGTCTCTTCTTGGTCTTCAGCTGACTCCTCATCATGAGCATATCTATTACAAATGGGAAGATCAAAAGATAAGAAAATGACAGTTTAAACAACATAAGCAGACATGTTTTAATAACATATTCATTGAAATGTTCTTCTCACTTGACAAAATCATTCTTCAGGACTCGCATGAGAATTGTGGCAAGAAAACCAGTCAAGAGGAGAACTGTCACACACGAGTTAATAATTGAGAACCAATGAATTTCCAAGTGATGAGGAAGTGAAGAAGATTGTGAATACTTGTCCATCCTTTTCTCAAATGTTATATCTGTTTCCTTCCATTTAACTGAATACATGAACTCCACATTGACTTCTTTATCTTCAGTAAGGTCCACAACATTGTTCAGATCAGATTGCGCAGAGATCTCAATGACACGATCCTTGTTGTAAAAGATGGTAAAGTGAAGATGCTTAAACAGGTAATATTTGTATTCACTAGGGTCATTCTTGCCTTCCTTGTCAACTTTCCCTAAGAAACCCCAAATGGGCAAGTCATCATAATACATTTGGAAGTAGTAGTCCTTGGAAACTGCTTCTCGGAACTGAGCAACTTGTTCCTTTGTCAGCGTGTTTTTGCAAGCAACTTCAGAATCCTTGTCATTTAAAAAGTCGAGTTTGTATGGGGCAGTGACTAAACGATCTCCATTCAACACTTCACCAAGGGCTTCCTTCTTGTCCTTTGTGGGACCTGTAATAAACATCATCAGCAAACTTCCACAATAAAACAAAGCTTTATAGTGGGAGCAATGTGAATTGATGCAGACCTGATGAGCAGAAAGGCAGATCAAAGTAGCGGTATGTTTCACTGACAGAATGAACAAGAAAGAAACAACATCAAAAAATTATGAATAAAAAAAATACTAAAGAAAATTTTCACAGTTGAACAGTTAAAATCTCAATATGACAACCAACCAAAAGTCTAGATATGACCATAGTAAATATCAATTAAGTTCCGGCATAATTTCATGTACGATTACAGAAAAAGAGTTCCAGCTACTGATTAAAGATCTCAAACAGCAATAACAAAGGAAAACCCAATACTTGAACTTTTCCAGCTCACAAGAAACAACCAGAAACAGAAATCAACACCTGGTGACTGGACATTATTCTGGGCTTTAACTAACAGACTCTACTTACTTGCAAATGTTACTATCCAAAAGCTTGCATTCCAAAATCCCATTAAGCATTTCCTAAACTATCTCCCCAGGGATCAACTAGACCAGCTCCTTGTACAACCATTAAGCTATGCTAAGTTTCCAGCTTAATTAGCAACTAAGTGACATCAACAGCATTTTCATGTTAAACTCCAAGTTCCAATCTTTGATCTTCCTTTTTAGGAAACCAAATCATAAGATCCACTTCCCATAAGCTCAGATCCACAACAATTGAAGAAACCAATCCATAAACCAAAAAAGAAAAAAAAGGGTTCTACAGAATCTGGCACAATAATGCTAAAATCAAATTCTCCAAAACCCAACTACACAATTCCATTTCTAATCCATATCCCACATACCCCAACGTCCCAAATCATCAAAAGTCACAAACTTGAAGACACCCCACAAAACCAATAACCTTAACCTAATCAAAACAGCAAGAAAGATCGAGAATTGGATTACCTGGGATTGTGAAAAGGCCCAACCTTGTTAACGTAGAGAGGGACATCATCTCCAACTTTGTAACGATGATCAGATGCATCTGATCTAACATGAGACACGCTGCACAATATCAAAACAAATGAAACCAAACAAGGCACTAGTTTCTTCTCCATTTTCTATCACTGTAACTCACAAAAAGAGAAGAGAGAGTTAGAGAGTTATCGAAAGAGAGAGAGGAGAGAGATTTATAAAGATGGAGACTTCATAGGCTGTGGCTCCAACAAATCTAAAATGGTTTTATTTCGTGTCAAAAATGAGGCCTTCCTCAAATAACAAGAAAGAGATTAGGAGAGTTGTTAAAAAAGAATTATTTTTATTCTTAAATGCGTCCATGAAAAAAAAAATATATATATAACCACGATAAACTAGGTTTTGCTTTGGAAGTCCATGCGCCATCCTAGAAGTTTTGAGAATTTTCAGTTTTAAGTTTTTAACTCTTAAATTATTAGATGTTGTTTGATTTTATTTTTGTTTCATCATGTTAATATCCTTGAATAGAATAAATATATATAAAGAGATAAAAACATATTTTATTACATAAATAAAAACAAGGACATAAAATAAGTAATTTTTAGAATAATTTTGAAATAAATTTATATATTATTAAAACATGACTTTTATTTTTATATTTTCTATTTCAAAACGATAATCAAACATTATTTTAATGTTATTTATTGTTTTTGTTTTATCTTCAAACAAAAAAAATAATTTATTTATTTTTAATTTTTTTTAAAAAATGCAAAACCAGCAAGCTTTGTCAAAATTATAGAAATTTTATTTTATAAAAAAGGGGAATTTTTTTTTTAAATTTTGATTTAAAAAATATGAATGATTTTGAACAACCTTTATTTTTCAAAATAATTTGGTATTTAGCATCCCATAAAAATCTTTTTTTATTTTATTTTAGTGTTTATAACTTTAACTTATTGACAAATATAGAAATAATATAATAAAGATAATAAGTATAAAAACACAAAAAATTCAAAAGAATGGAATACACACAAACCCTAATTAATAATTTTATTATTGGATATTTATTTTTTAATAATCTACCCCTCTAAAAGATTTACAATTTTTTAAATAAACTCAAAAAATAACCTCAACAAAATAGAAAACTTGAAAATAAAGAAAAGCAATAAAAATCATAAAAAAATTACAAAAATTAAAATCATTAATCATAATATTTAATATTATAAACTGAATATGGAAAAATAACCAAGAAAAAAATAAAAATAAAAACAAAATCCTTCTATATTAGTCTTTCTATATTGAAAAGAACTACTCCTCGAGTTTAATTTGTTTTTATCTTGATCTTGTAAATGTTCAATCAAGAATTTACAGTTTACAGCATTTACATGCCTGACCTTTTTGCTTAAAACATCATATCAACATGGTTAGCTTCCCTAAAAATGGGACCACTTGTAGCGTTAGTAAAAGATTTGAAAACATATCTCATAATTTTTATCAAAAATACAATAACATTAACTTTAATCTAATCATTTTTGTCTCACGTCCTCGTACGGCGTTCAATAATGATTTTTTGTTTGTTTTCTTATTTTGAGAGTCGTCACCCTGGTATTTGATTGATAATTACTAAGAAACATAAATGAACTAGTCTTTATAAGAGATTCAAGAGTAAGGAACTGACTGTAACTAGGCAAGGTGTTAGCACCCCTAACGCACCCTACTTGAGGAAGAACTTAGAGACAGTGGGATGTTTTTAGATATGCTTCTTTACAAAGATTTATTTTTTTCTCTTGGCTTCGCCTTCTTTAATATTTCTGGCAGCCGACTCTGAGGTCAAGGTGTCTGGCTTATGGTTAACGGGTTCTATGGGTTCTGTCGTGCTTGGATTGTTAGTGATGGCCTCGGCAATACTGGAGTTGACGGTGGCACTGAGTTGCTACTATGGTCGATGGGGAAAGGAGAAATGGCATTTTATGGTTGATCTCCTGTGTCAGTGGGTGGCGAAGGCCAATATGTGTTAATGGTCTTCGCTCTTATTGGTAGTAACGATGGTTAGGCTTGCTGGTTGAAAGAGATGAATAGGTTGTTGACTGCTGCTGTTCGGTCGCTGCTAGGGGTTGAATGAAGGAGAGACCTAACGATAGAGATAAGAGAGTGAGGGGATTTTATTCTCTCAAAGAGAAAGGGAGGAGCTCTAAGCTGGTTGAAAGAGGGAAATGACTCTGGTTTTAGAGATGAGTGTCAGATAGTGGGGAGAGACCATTAAGAGAGGGAAAGGTCTGAGGGCTAAAACTGGAGGCTCTCGTGTGTGTTTTGGCCAGGGAGCTGAGAAGAGAAGATTAGCGGCAACCTTTATTGGCTTGAAAAGGGGAGCCGCTAACAAAAAAGAAAAAAGGATTTAGGGTTTTGTTTTTTGTTTAAAGAAACGGTGGCTGAGAGGGAGAAAGAGTCTAGGTTTCTAGGAGTTTTTTTTGTGGATTTAGGTTTTTTATTTTACCTCCCAAAATTTTCTCCTCCCTCTTTTATGTCTGTTATGACCTCTATTTATAGGCAAAGTGGGTTGGTCCTAAAAAAATATTGGTCCCTCAACTATTTTATTTTTTATCAATTTTAATTTTTATTATTTTTCTATATTTTTGAAAGTGAATAATATCAACGTCGACTTAACAAGGAAAATCAATGATTGAAAAATTAACACGTTAAAAATTGAATGTGTTCAAAATATCTTTGAAAATTTAAATTCTTCTAAGATGACGTTGAAAATGCTAAAAACAATGCAAATATATTAAAAATGCATTTTTTTAGGGTTTTCATTGTTTTTTTTCTATTTTTGTTTTTTTTTAAAAATTTATCAAAAACATAGATAAAAAATTAGATAACAACAAATTTTAAAGTCCTCCTTAGAAAAATTTGGTACACATCGTTTAACATCACCTTCAACTTTCTCATCAAAATTTGATGTTTGATTCCAATTCACAAGAGAGATACGATCATTCTTATCTAGATTAATAAGTTGTTTTCTTTGCTCAAAGCTTTAAAATGATTCTCAAAATTAGATATGGATCTATAATCATTTTCTTCATGATCTCTTAGGCTTTTCACCCCTGCTAATAAATGAGTTGATTTTGCAATCTGTCTCTGCATGTTTTCTATCACCATATCCTAACACACCTCCTTTCAATTCTTCAACTTGTTGTTGCATGTTTTCCATCACCGGTTTTTGAATATCTCTTTTCTTAAGAGGAACCTCCCCATCCTCTAGTATATAAGCATGTCTTTCTATTATCTCTTTCATCCATGTTAATCCAGCACAAACAAGAAAATAAGTATCGGGATCATTGGACTTCAACACCAATTGATATGGAAGGAAACAATACAAAAAAAAACAATAAACATAAAAAAAAACATATAATTCTCAAAAGAAGGGATCATGTAGAAACCCTAACTTGCAATCTTATTATTGAATATTTGTTTTAAAATAATTTACCTTTCCAAGAGACTTACAACTTATATAAAATACAAAAATTAACCTAAAAAACTATAAAACTAAAAAATAAAGGAAAAATAATAAAAGTCTTAAACCAATAAAATTCTTAAACTAGCTATGAAAAAATAAAATTATAAACTAAATAAAAAAAAAGAAAATAAATAACTTTTCTAAAAATCCTAATGCATCCCTTATTTTGTAATCACGATAATTTATTTTTTATTTCAACATGGATTTGTGAATTACTTATTCCACCTCTTTTTTAGTTAACAAAACACTAGAAAATATAACTAAATTATTATCGTTACATCCACAAAACATTATTAATTAGAATAGTGTTTTGCATTTTTGTTTTAGCTTTTTTTGTTTATTTCTTTTTATTCAATTTAACCTTCAAATAATCTAATCTTCCTGTCCTTTTTTTATTTAGTTTTTTCTTTTTAATTTTATCATTTAAAATTTGATTATTTTAGGAATTGGATTTTATAATTTTCTATTTATTTATTTTTTTGTTGAGTTATGTATCAATCTTACGAATTTCAACCTTCAACATTAGTTCTATTGAAAATGAGGCTTCATAATTTTTTTTCTATGAATTATCCAAATCTTGTTGCATAGGTTGTTAGTTTAATAGGTTAATATAGGTTGACTCAGATTATTTATTTGTGTTGCCTTTTATAATTTTTTTTATTTTACTCTTCAATATCGGGTTAATTGGAAATTGAGTTTTATAATTTTTTTATTTATTTTTTATAAGATTATTCAAATCTCATGACCCAAGTCATGAGTTTGACAATTTAACTTATATTGACTCTGTTTATTTCTAGTCATTTCTTCATTGAATATATATTTTTTTAATTATGCTTCATATTTTTTTTATTTTTTTTCTATAGAGTTATCTCAATCTCATGATCAGGGTTGCAAGTTTGATAGATTGACTAACGTTGACTAAATTATTTTTTATTCTTTTTTAATTGAATATATATATATATATCCATTTTTATGTACCCTCTAATAACTCAGTTTTTTTTATTTACTTATGTTTTTAATTTTATATTTTAATATTATATTACTTAAGAATTGAATTTTATAATTTTTTTAATTTGGTTTCAGTATAGTTATTATAATCTCATTATTTATTTTTCTTGATTTTAACCTTGTACATTGGATCTGTTAGAAATAGAGTTTCATAATTTTTTAATGAATGTATTTTAATCTTATAATTCAAGTAACAACTTTTATAGATTTGTTGATGTTGACTTAGTTTTTTTTAATAATTTATTTCAATTTCATCCTTCGAGATAGATTTGATTGGAAATTAATTTTTTTAATTTTTTGGTTTTCTTTTTATGAAGTTATCTTATCTTATGACTCAAATTGTGAGTTTGGCAGGTTAACCTGAGTTTACTTATGTATTTGTTTTTAATTTAATTTTTTATTTTTTATTTTTACCTTTTAATATTAGATTGAGTAGGAATTAACTTTTATAATTTACTTTGAATTTCTTTCGATAGGATTGTCGGGTTTGATGATCTAGGTCATAAATTTAATAAGTTATCTCGAGTCAATTTAAGATGTTGTAATCTCAATATTTTTTTAAAAAAATTATCATCCATTATATATATATATATATATATATATATATATATATTATTTTGAGTTTATAATCAAAAAAATTTTATTAGAAAACATATTATTAACACTTGAATAATTTATTTATTTTTGTTAAAAAACTGATTTAACCGCAGAATAATGTTAGTAAATAATCTAGTTACATTGACTTGTAAGTACATGTGATCAATTTAAATTAAAATAAAACTAGGCCCATCTTTCCAATACATGCA